TGGACAGAAAAAAAAATTACGAGAAAATAATGTGTTTTTCTCTAGCATTATATTGTGATATCGCAAAATTATTCTTAAACAAAAGAAGTTTAGAATATGCAAAGGAACATAGAGTATAAAAGTACTTATGAATATGTAAATTTTCATTGAAATAATGTTTGAACAACTGTCCTACTCACAGCTCATAAAATGGAAGTAGGTACATGAAAACATCTGATTAAACATATTGACTTTTTACTGCCTTCATTGTTAATTAATGTTAAAGTATAAAAATTGTATTGTATAGCTTTTCGCACACTAATAAGAAAGTAAATATTTTAACACTGTCTTAAAAATATTGTATAAATAAAAGCACTTTAGTGTACGACAAAACGTTAATATTCTTCAATCGATATTAAACTTAACTATTAACGCTTTAGATTTTAACTTAGCCGGTGAAACTAGTTTAAGAGCGAAAATTGTTAAAAGAAGGTATAATTTAAAAGAAGGTATAATTTGTTTTATTTCAATACAATATTTCATTTTTTTTAATGAAAATATAGGTGGTGTAGTCAGAAGTAAAACTATTTTGACTTTAACAATGTAATATTAATAATATAGATATATATCTGATCTGACAATTACTTTTTATTACTACCTTAGTCTAATAATGCAATAAATTTAAACGAAATTGTGTATAATGATGCTTTGATATGAATTAAAAACAAATCATTGTAAGAAGCACTATCTGTAATTATAAAAGATAAAACGATAAAGTTATCGTTTGTATATCGTTATCTAATTATTGTTTATAAATAGAGGTGTGATTTATCAATTTAAGATTGAATAACTTGCAATGATGTCACTTAACAGTCAGTTGCACAAACATCCATTAAAATTGACATTAGTTTAAAGCGATATTGCCGATACAAATTTGACATTCATCAGAGCTTAAAGGAGACATTAAATCTTAACGGACGTTTGAGCTATTTTTTTAATGTGTCCGAAAAACTATGTCCTTCTTTTATCTAAGATGCAGCGAATAGAGTTTTAATATATTAAGGTGTCTTTAACAATATAGTTCTTCAGAGGATTTTAAAATTGAATAAGTTGTAATTTAATTTTGTTAATTGATTTATTCCAATTTTGTTATTAATTATATTACTCATCATAATTTTCATGATATTTATTAGTATCTATACTGTTGAATTATTTTTACAATCATGAATATTTTTATAAGCCATAATAAAAGCAACTTAGTTTAGTGTATATGTTCTTTTTCAAAGTAGAAAATAGATAAGTAGGTTTGCACCTGTAGGCACTTTAATATTCAGCAGACTAATTACAATATCAATAGCGATACATTTACCTAAACAAATATTTGACTCACTAAATAACACCTGTTTATAGAAATGAAAAAACGTACCTATTCAATATCTTGACAAAATAACAATTTATTAAGAATGCCTAAACCAAAATCATTGGATAATTTCAATCGATCGTGAAGAAATTGATTAATAATATGAATTTCGATTAATACTAAGTGCAATTTTAGCATACTTATATAAAAATGTTGTCATCATATAGGTAAATGTTATCTCGATACCATAAAAATACTGCAGATGTCCAAGTCATGTAATTGGGTCAAGACGGGATTATTATATTTTTTATAGAAAACTGGTTATGCACCGATAATAAAAGAATTTTATTTATACCTAACCAAAATATTAGATCTTGATTTAAATGAATATTTTTTATTTTACTATCTAATAATGAAGACCTAAGATCACAGTAATATAATTTAATGAAGTTACAAAATTTTACAAAAGGACTGACTAAGCAGTGTAAGAAACTTTTAACATTTAATGTTTCTTATATTGCTTTGGTTGAGCTCACTTTGCCTTAATAAGCACGGAGAAGATACAGTGAGTTTTCGATCACCCTGATTGGCCTATGTCAAAGTTGCTTAATTGTCGGAATAGTATCTGATTCAATGTATTATTAATTACGCTATCAAATGTTTCAAAATATTATGACCATTTTAACCTAAGTACCTACTATGTTTTGTTAGAAAATGTAATAATCTGTAGAATAAAATTTTATGAATCAGACCTGAGCTTTTATAAAGCGTCCTTTATTCGATACGATCTGTCGTTTGCAATTCGAGACCAAATCGTAAACGATGTATTTGTCGCCGACGACATCGTAATCGGAACGGATACCATTAAATAATGAATATCGTAACGATAAATCGAAAGTGTGTGTGGCTGTTGACGATTGACAATTCACAAAGCTACACGTCACACGTCAAAAAGCCTGCACTGTTTCTTCACGAATGAAAATTACGAATCATGTTTAAAAGTTTGTTAAAATCATATCCGAGAAGTTTATCTGTGCATCAGAGGCAGTATCAGGTACCTACCTCTGTTGCATTATAAATTATTAACAGCAGGCCTTCAGGTTAACACTATATGTAAAAATGTCCTTAATAGTTTTGAATTCTACTTTAAAAAATACAGTAAAACCGCAATGCAACGATCGTTTCGTGTGTACAGGCAGTACGATGCGTTAAATCTTTACGATTTTCTTCATATGTATCGATGGATCGGTCCTTAAGCCACAATGAACACTGAGTTTTTTATGTTTATCATTTAATTGCCGCCAATTCTTAGTCCTTCTACGAAATCGTTAAACACATTTTTGTCATTGATAAATTTATGTCTTTTCAATGCATGAGTAATAAAAAATATATAATGTAAATTAATGCAAAGTAAGTATGTAGCTGCATGTAATACATCCTTATCTTATTTTTTAAAATTACTATGAACATTTTGAAATTACTAAGTGTTAAATTTGCTAAGATATGCTTGTCTTTAATTATTACAATTTACAGATAAGTTGTTGCCTGAACAACCAGGCGGTGAATTCCATTCTTGACTGAGGCACCACAACGTATAAAAATATTTAATAGGAACCCGTTTCTCAATTAAGAAAATACTAAAAAACAACTTACCTACAATACAGTGATTTTCTAAACACAAAAAAAATCTCACTAAATTATCACTCCAAGTATAAATTATGAAAAATAAATAATATATATTTTTATGCCATTAATGTGTTATCTTTTTCATATCAAGAAATATATTAATCACGTATTCACTCGTGCATTGTTAAATTGAAAATAACACGTAATCGTAACTGAAGATTGAGAGATAATAACATTAGTGTTGCTATTTAAAAAATAACCATAAATATTTAACTGTCAAAACCGCAAGTTCGAAAATGTATTAAATTCAAAAGTGAGTGCGCGCAAGCAACGTGGTTTACCGACAACGATCTTCTTTTCATCTGAATAGAGCCGGTATTGTCGTCTTTGTCTGTTGTATAGCAACGTTTTCTTTCCACGCAGAAAAGTCAGTGCATCCGTCCTTGACTCTGAACACTCGCTTCCAAAGATACCGTTCGTCGGTTGTCTTGCTCGTTCAAATACTCTTGTAGCATGTTGGAATGAGACACGTGTATGATTACCGGTTAGGTGTGAAATCCGACTGTCAATGACCGAAGGCTTGAAGGATCATAATAAAAAAAAACTACCTTAGTACTGTTATACTTTAACCGTTATTGGGTCCTTCGACTTCCAAAATTAAGGAATAATTATTTGCTTAACTGAAAATGTTATGGATATGTTAAAATATTTCTTTACTTAAGTAAACATTGGTGCCAATTTCACTGTAAAACTTTAAACCAAACTAAAAAATGTAATGGTGTTCCGGTTTATTTTAATGTCATTCCTTAGTCACATGTAGGTAATATAATACTCCTATATATTTTAGTTAATTCTGTTATCTTAGTTTTTTTTTTAAATTAAAGCATTCGTGAGGTAAAGCTTAAAAAATCGAGAGGATTAAAGCTTAGAAAATTGCTTAGTTTGCTAGAATTGCTACAATCAAATTTGACTTAAATAATCAAGACAAGACTATGAAATTTTGCTATGTAAAACATATAGGCACCAGAATATTATACTTTTATATTATTAATCCATTCCTCATACTAATTATGGTAGGATGGGATTAATTAATCTTAGTTCTGCTATAATATTATTGACTGTCAAAAATATAATAATAGTATTCTTAATGAAAATATTTCAAAAATCCTCTTTGTCTCTGGCACTCTGAGATGGGATTCGGACCCATGACCTTTCGCAATTCAGGCGACAGCTGAGCTACCCAGAACCTTGTTAGGTTCTGGGTAGCTCAGCTAAAAATCTTCAATTCGTTCGTTTAGTCCTGTTGGACTGAAGATTTTTTCAAACCCTTGTTTATTTTTCGCTTCTACAGACCGTTTTGCATAATTGTTCAAGCAATCCACCCAAATAACCGAATATTTTTACAATTATTTAGACAATTTTCCATTTACATTGTTATTCTGAAAAATATTTTTAATGACATAAGTTTAAAAGATCCACTTTGTCCCTGGTATTCTGAGATGGGACTCGAACCCATTTTTCAGTAATTAATTAATTTTTCATTAAGAATATTTCTCAGCTTAGCATTGTGAATACAAAATTCATCAAATATATAAATCAGAACAAATTTTCATTTTTATCGAAAGTTTAAATATTTGTAAAACTATTTCTATAGCTTGTTTGGGTGGATTGCCTGAATATTGATGAAAATAAGCTCTGTAGTAACGAAAAAGTAACAAGGTCTGTTAGGTCTAAGGTAGCTCAATGATTAGAGCAGTCGTCCTGATTGCGAAAGGTTATGGGTTCGAATTCCATCTCAGAACGCCAGGGAAAAGTGTTTTTTAAGCATTTTTTATTAAGAATATTTTTTAATATAGCATTTTGAATGTAAAATTGATGAAATATAATAATTGTGCCCGGAAAATACTTGATAATTCGGTTTAAAGCTAGTCTTACAAGAAGGTAAGTATTTTATGTGTGATAAAATATTTTTTGTGTTTATGATGATGTTCGAATTTGTCTTTTCGTTAATCTGCCATGGAAATAAGTTTTCAATATGCAGGTATATAAATTGATATTTTATCTATAAAAAGGTCTGGTTTGAAAAAGTTTGCACGTATGTGATGTGGCAATGTAATCGACAGCTCGGACGGCTGTCACTGCATACGACACTAGCCAGCAATATTATTCTAGTGCACGGAGGTAATAAAGTCGAATGGATAAGGCTAATAAATCTGTGTTCTAAATTTTAAATGTGTTCTAGCGTTTTTTTTTTCGTTGTATTGCAACAGAACTTTTGTTATGCTAGTGTTTGAATAAAAAATTGGGTAACTTTTTTTTGTTACAATTAAACATACACTTTAGTTTTTAAAGAATGAATATCTAAGATATAAAGGTCTCGTTACTTTAAAAATATATTGGTTATTTTTCATTTTCTTGTAATGTTATACTTTAGGTTTGTAGTTTAATTTTATACTTTTCTGATCATATTATCAATGACCAGCAGATTGAAGAAGTGGCCGCTGGAAAAAAGAATTTAATGCCCTAATTAATTATTCATTAAAATACCTTTTAATATTTTTAGTTGTTTTATATTCGCTCAAATATGATTAAGTTTTCGTGAATCGTTGACTTCACGTAATTAATAATATAGGTACTACAATTATGTAAATGTAGCGACATCTTAAATATATGTATAATTTATTTGTATCAAATTAAAACTATAATAATAAATTTACGGCATAATAATAAATTTAAAACTATAATAATTAATTTAATAATAAATTTGGAATCAGTTTGGCCACCGTTTCATTTAACATAATATTTATTTACATTTTAGATTTTTTATTATGAATAAATGCATTATAAAGTTGGTTTTAAGTCATATATTAAAATGTTTGTAATCTTTTATAAAGAAATTTCATTTTTTGAAAAGATAATCACATCAAGCCTATAAATATCCCCACCGCTGGGGCAGCAGCCTTCCTTATAAATGGAATCAAATAGGGATAACTGGCCATAATTTGTACCATAACATACCACGCGGGTTCAGAATGGATTAGTGGGTAACTACACTACAAATGCAGCCGGTACCAACGACTTAAGATGCCTACCGAAGTAAAGAAGAATAAGTAACTTTATTTCGCCAGAGGATTTTGGCAGTATTTTCTCAAAAATAAGGTCTAAAATCATAGAAATTTAACGACATATAAATCGTCAAATTTTCACGATTCCGATTTCCCTAAAGTCTAGTTTAAAATAAAAGAGAGACAATAAAAAAGGTTTATTGCAAAAAAGGCTTACTCGTTTACACTGTAACCTTTTTTCGTTACTTTTTTACAACACTGTTCGGTTTATAGTACGTCATGATCGTATTTTTCAAACAAAAAAGCGTTAATAGTCTCATAACTGTTTTCCGGTCACAATCCACTCCATAATTGCTACTTAAACATGTCATTTTCTGCTTTATGCCAACCATTTGCATTGGTGTTTTTGGATCTCATTTTTTATTGTGATATTACACAGGTACGTCTATTTTCGTTTATATTTAAATATAATATGCATATGTTCTTAAACGTGGTAGCTTATGTCCTGCCAGAGAATGTAATTGTAATCATGCCCTGAACTTAAAATATCGATGTAGGCACTTAACAACTTAAAGCCAAGTTTTAGTGCGTACTCACTTGAATTCATATAAATTACAGGGAAGTGCAAAGTTCGATTTAGTCATAGAAAAAGCACTGGGGCTAGTTTTCTAAATTTTGCTAGTTAATATATAAATCGTTCCATGCCATATGGGCTATATGAAACCTTGCCTGAAATAAAGAGAAAATTTTCCATGGATATTATGTACTTACTCGATAGTAAGTCCTCGCTCTCGATAATTTTAGTATATGTACATTCCCATATTCATGAAAACCGTTGACCAATTAATTTTTAATGGATATAGAAGTTAGGACGTTCAAAATTCTTAGAAATGACGGAAAACGAGAGTCCTTGGAATTAGTAACTCGGCCACGGCATTTGTTAATGAATGTGAAAGTTTTATGAATTAATCTGTATTCGGTTTAGTTTAATGGAATTGTAATTTTCATATTACAAATTCTGAGAATCAAAGGCCTCAAAAGTCAAATGTACACAAAAAGTTCAAATGCTAAATAGGTTTATTACGATATTAATGAAAGTAGTGAAATTATAATAGTCTTTAAGTATAAATATTTATTTTATTCGAGGTCAACCATCATTCTATTTGAAGTCATTCCTCTATTGTTAAACTTTGTTAGCTTTCTTACGATTTAGAGATTAGTCTAAGAAAATATAATGTATAATATTAGTAAGTCCAGATTTCTTAAGGTCTTTTGAGTGTGAAGCATGGTTCCATCCCATTTGCTAGAAACAAATGGAATCATTATTTTTACTGTTCTCCTATAATATTGTATTATCCATAATTGCATTTCAGATTTGTTTAATAACGTAAATAAACAATTTCCTGTATTAACCCTATGCAATTATGTTTTTTTAATTTATTTACAGGTTGAGGCACGTTCCAGTGAAGCAGTATCTATTCCTGGTTGGTTCAATAGTATTGAAAATTATGTAAATAATGTATGTATTGTGCTGTTTTTTAATTATATTATTTAATTTCTGTAATATAATTATTACTTACTCAGATTGGGGCTGCGCCGCTTTATCCAAGAGTAGCTCTTTAAGATAAAAACGTTATTATAATGTACTAACTGTTTTCCAATAATTTCGCCTGTGTAAATAATACATCATATGCGGGTAATACCGCATATGATGTAGCTTCTAAATAATTTTCATAATTGCATCAGTATTTTCGAAGATTATCCCTACATACTTGTGATGCGACTAGTGTCCTGTTTTAACTCGAGTCACTTGAGTGGACTTTTCAAACTCGTACTCGACTAAAAAAAATATCACTTGAGTTATCCGAGTCAACTCGGCACATCAAGTTGATTGTCTTGCTACTAGATGTCACTTCGCTACTCTATTTTATTACGCTTATTTTTTATCTTCTTGATTACTTAAATGAATAATGCCTATGTCAAAACTCTTGTAATGGATATTTTATTTATATTCTATATATATTTGTTTAAAATTACTGAAAAATCACACTGAAAACCCGAGTATGTAGTCATACTCACTCTAGTGAGTGAGGTAGTTAATTGGCTCGAGTGATTCAGTCACTGATCACAGAATCCTACTCGAGTTGCATCACAAACAAACAAAGTTAGGATAGAAACTTTATCTCTTTATAATAATTATATAGATTAAGGCTAAATATTAAAATAAAGATATTCTCTCAGTTGACTGAAATATATTATGAAATTTATATTAGCGTGGTTGAATATAAGAAAAACCTTTTCAGAATTTAAGAACGATAGAAATACCACGTGGCGTCGTTGATAATCAAGGAGGCGATTCAATAATAAGAAAAAAGAATGCTAGAAAAAAACGAAGAAGGTTAGTCAAGAAAGTTACAAAGCGTTTTGAAAATGGAATGCCAAATGTAGAAGTATATGAAGTAGAACAACGCAAAAAAAGAAAGAAGAAAAAGAAAAGTCGCAAGATATTCGAGAAGGCAGAACGCGATTTAGGTGTAGATTCAAATTTATCCGTTTCTCGTGAAAAGTCAAAAGATTCCAGAAAGCCTGTGGATATTATAGTGCACATTAAAATGAGCGAATGATTTAAAAAGCCTTTATATTGATTTTCTAGTGAAACCTAGAGCTAATCAAATTTATCACACTTGTTACAGAGAAATAACACTATGTAAGCGTATTAAAATTTATAACCAATACTGTCGTTTCATTTGTACTAAAATCATTATTACCAAAAATTTATCTCACTTGGCATACAGCCATTTGCACAAACATCCATTATAATTGTCATTAGTTTAATGCCACATTACAAATGCAAATTTTCAAATTTAAAACATTAATTAGAGCTTAGTTGTCTTTAAACCATGATGAACGTTTCTGCACTGACCGATAGTTTAATAATTTTAATAAGTACTTATAGACAATACTGAGAAAATGATATCGAATTGGAATTTGAATATGACTTAATAATAATTAAAGAAATAAATAATAAATTTATAAATTGCCTTTGTTGATGGTTTTTAATTCTTCTTCCAATTCAAAAACTCTATTTCGCTCTTGTCTACTTATCTTAGTCGTAAGCTAATAGGAAATTAGTAATATACTTTTTGAATTATTTTATTTTAAGTTCTCTGTAATACTAGCAATGAACATAAGTAGTAAGTATCAAATACTCAAAATTACGCGGGTGCTTTATCCGTTTTTAATATTTTAAAATTTACACTATACGGATATCTTGGTACTTTTATTTCATCACTTTATTTAAAGAGCTATGTGTTATATAAGAGATGTGTTTTTACGAGTACTTCTATAAGTGATAGTTTGTTAGGATACACATAAAATAAAAATAAATTTTTTATCACCTGTAGTAAGTACCTGACTGCCAGTGAACAGAAGATTAAAGAAATTTGTAAAATTTGAAACCTTAATGCTTTTATGGTAGGCTTGAAAATAAATTGCGATGTTTTTACATAATATGGTGGCTGCTATGTGTACAAAAAATACAGTGCATGCGGTGTGTGAAAGAATTTATTTTATAGTACTTTTTACCGTAGTATAATTTGTTTCGGCAACAACTTAGTAAACGTTCTCTCCTAAGGTCAACTCTATATTTATACCAAGTCGTATTTAAATCGGATTTGCCTGTTTAGGCGTAACAGACATACAAAGTAACTTTTGTACAAGCATTATTTCAAGGGATTCTTTTACAAACCGAGAACTGTAGTGACACTCGCTGTCAAAAACTTTTATAACAATCTCTGAGGAATTTTAAGTTAAAAAAAGATTTTAGAGTAGTTTCACCGCAAGGGGATACTTCGGTGATGACATGTTGGAACGACGTGAAGTGTGATTGCTTCTTTGATATAAATTTGTTTTAAATAGAGAATCGCGTTGAAGCATGTTTAATGAGGAGTCAAGAACTTAATCAAATTGTTTAAGTATATGTGGTAACATAGCCATAGCTAGATATTGAAACATATATATCGATTCGGAGTTTTAAACACACTTCAAAAACTTATTTTTATTTGAAAGGGCTATTTACGAGGTGTTTTATTCAAATTTTATCAAAATTAGTAAGTAGTTACGTTTACATAACAAAATAACTGGAAGTACCATATCGTTTAATTCCCGTACTTACCCGAATTGCTTACTTTTCTCTTACTTACTTACCCGAATTCAATAATTGTCTGCACCGTTTATTATATAAATATATATTATTATTTATATTACATTACTAACATCTTTTATTACAATAAAAAAAAAACTAAATAAGCGATATATAATAAAATCTCTATTATAAATTCCACCCTCTATTATATTATCTATTATAACGCATATTCGCCTCTCCAAAAACAAATAAATAATAAATCGCTGTACTAAAAATATAATAAAATATATAATAGTGTGATGTGTGTGAACTATTCTTAAGAAATTTGAAACAATATAAGAAACGGAGTACGACCAGAGTCCTATGGAAAGTAAGTCCATAAAATTTTTCAACTCATCAATCATTTGAATATTCTCCAATAATTTTATAACCGCCTTTTTAGTTTTTTTATCAGATTATCAAATAAATTTTAAAAATTTAGAGTTCTGTGAAACAATAGGCCTAGATCAATATAGAAAATAAGATTGAAAATTGAGACACGAGAAATATAGTAAATAGATTTATTCAATAAGATTTTGTTGTATTGTGTTCATTAGTTAGTGATTTATTGTCGTTCGAATGTAAAGATTTATTTTTGTATTTCTTGTGTTTCTTTTTATTCGTCCTCTTGAGTTTCATCTGTAGTCGCTTCATCAATTGAGGGATGCTGCCATTTTCATTGTTAGAATTCGCATACTTTTTTTTAATTTCTGTTAGTAAATGTTCAAGTACACTTTCGGTTACTAACTCGACATGGCGGGCGTACTGAAAAAAATATAAGTTTTATTACTGAATAAATTAATTAATTGGCTACTAATTGAGTTAGATTACAAACACAATGAAATATGTTGTCAATACATCATGAAATATGTTGGAAATGGTAACTTATATTTGAACAGTAACTATGTAGTATTTTTTGGTTTAAATACATTCTCGGTAGCTTTAATTTTAGCGAAATTAACTTGAGATTCATAATTTGTGGCGGCGGCCATGATGAAGCATCGTGTGACATCACATTTTAATAAACTAAACATTAACATCTTTGTTGCGACTACAACCAGTAACCATGTTTATTGAAATGTGACGTTACTGGTTGTTGTCATTGGACAATTTTAATTAACGGCTGGAAACATATATTTTCTTTATTAAATGACACTTATTAAAGAAAAATAAATCTAATAGTGGTTTAGTATGATCATATGAAAGTTTTCAAATACTTTTTACAAAATAGTCAAGCAATTATCCAGGTAACAGCATATAATAGTCGCAGCAGGTACTAAAAATTAAAACTACATACTTTGTTGTTTTGTTTAACAATCAGCCTTGAACTCGTAGACGAGCATAGCGCTTAGATGTTATAAGCTTAGATGTCCAATGAAATAAAACCTTTATTACCTTTGGAGAAGGTTTTGTTTGATTTGAACTCTACGCTGCGACATCACTGTGCTCGATATTGAGTTCGTCGCTGTTTTTTACAGAATATTCTAAATAAATTGGTGATAATTCTTTTGCACAAATTGGACTATTTTTAGTCATGTCTATTGATTTTAATTGGTTCAAAGAGATCTAGTTAGTCTTATAATAATAAATAAATACTAGATATGACGAGCTCGATGGCGCAGTGGTTAGCACGATCGGTCTGCGAGACGGTTGGTAAGCAACTTTCGCAAGGGTCGGTCATAGGATGGGTGACCGAACATTTACTATCTCGATTTCCACCTTACTTTCAGGAGGCTTATTAAGCCGTTTATCCCTCAACATCTGCAGTCGTTAATACCCACTGTTCATACCCGCAATGGGCCCATTCTCCCTATCCGATTTGACTCGATTTTATCCATAGGCAAGACTTAAGCTTCAACAATAGCGACATTAATAGACTCGTGATGATGATGTTCAAACATCACATAAATAGCTCAGATCCCAAATTAGGTAACAAAAGCGCTTGTAATAATTCCCATAATAAGGCTATACTATTCTATGATAACATTCTTAAAGTCGACGTCGATCTTAGCGCTTTTAGCGTTTCGAACTCTAGGTTTTATTTCATTGAAGCTGAGATTCAGCTATATGAGCGAGTTTGGTGCTATTTTTTAATAGTAAAGCTGAAACAAGGAAGGTAATTAAGGTATTACAACACCCAGATCAGGGACAAAATAGAAAAGTTTATTTTCTACTTTCCCAGGCATTTTCATCGGAATTCGAACGCAGGAGCTCTGAGATTACGACACTGAAATTGGTGTGCAAGTCAGTTATCCTACGAGGTCTTAAACAAAATTTAAACCGTTATTTTAACATTTTTATCATAGTATATCAATGAATGCTAAATGTTGCAAATGCATGAAATTATTATTAAATATATGGTGATCATTATTTCTTTGTTTCAACATAATTTCACGGTTTACTTGACTATGAACTTGAGGTAAAATTAAATGAAACTACCATTAACTGTAACGCAAGCAATTGGAAGAAACGGGCATGAAATAACGACCCAAGCTCAAGATAATATCAAAAGACTCTTTTTACAACAATTGAAAAATCTCCATATTCTTTCTTACCCTTTCTTTGTCATTGTGAACAAAGTCACTGTAATAAGATAAATCGTCGAAAAAAATCTCGTTTTCATCCTTTATAGCAGTTGTTTGACTCTGCAAAAGGATGTGAAATTTTCAGGTCATTTAGATTATTTTCTACTTAATCAAAAAATGAAAGCAAAGACATTGAAGAAGTGTATATTCCTAATAGGTTTTTTTTTTAAAGTTCGAGTTTAGTAATTAAAAAAGCAATTATAATAAAGTATTGTGATTTTTTGTAATGTAAGAATCGTGTTCGAAAAGTTAGTTAATTAATAATCTTAATGAAAACTGCTATTCACCAGCTTCAGGTACTCTGAGTTTGGACTCGAACCCAATCCGGGCGATTGCTCTAACCGCTACCTATGACCCAACAGGACTTACGCTTATTTTCAAGCACTTGTTACTTTTCTCTACTAGTGAGCGTATTTTCATCAATGTTCATGCAATTCACTCAAACAGCCGTAAGTAATATTTTACAAATATTTTAAACCTTGCCTGATTGAATATGGTGAGAGTAAGTACCTGGCGCTGGTGGATTTTTTAAGCATTTTTCATTAAAAATATTTTCCAGGATAGTATTGTGAATGCAAAATAGATCAAATGTTATAATGAGTTCTATTAAATATTAAAATATTGAGATTGTTATTTATCTCAGTCTGAAACTACTCACGCCTTTAATATGCAAGTCCTTGGCAATTATTTCTAAAGAAAGCAACACAAGCACGCAAAGCGACAACATTTTGAAATATACTAAAGATTTGCTGACATTGTTAATAGCAAGTAGTATTGTTCTGTTTAGTGGAAATTGTTTTCCAAACAGCGATTCTGTTTTGGACTTTTATACGATAAAAGAGTTAACGGGGTTTTAGTTTTACTCAAAGCAGTTTACGGTTATAACGACAAACTTTGTTGTACATCAAATGTTGCGTTACAGTTGAAATTGTTAGATATCACCTTCTTTTTATATGGGTGTATAAAACAAAATCTGTAATAACCTTGGAATCCAAGAGTTATTGAATAATGATGCTTCATTTGGCATACTCGCCCTCGCCCGTCAACTCTGGAAAAAGTCTCAGTCTTCAAAAATAAGTATTTTAGAAGCCATTTATTTTAATAATTCATGATCTAAATATACAAGATACAAGCATCATATATTTGCTAAGAAATGTTGTCCTAAAATTCGTAACTGAAATTTAATAGTACGCGAACGAAGTAAAATAAAAGGAAGGATATGATATTTTTGTATTATTTACTAACAATCTTAATGGCCGCAATTGAATAATATATTACTGTATATAGTATAACTGATTGAAGTGGCAATCGATTTTTTTACTAGGTAGTGCACGCATTTCAAGTCCATATTCGCATTAATTTTGTTTTACAGTAGGATTTTATAGACATATCTATATTGTCTATTATGTTTCTAAGTATATAATATAAAGAGCTCTTGAAAGTTAAAAAAAAATAAGACAGTTAAAATCCATGAAGGAATCGTGCTCGATCAGCCATATAGAAAGGATCCAGTTGTGACTTTAGAGGACGTAATGGTGCTTCTTTTCGCACTGTTGGTCTGACAGGACGCAAAGGACGCCCCTTATTCTGAAAAAAGATAGGATATCTAATCAGTAAATCCAAAATAATAATAAAAAAGCTATGAAGAGCTGATTGGGATTAAAATAAGCAAAAAAGACTATCTGTTTAAGGTAGCAGTTAACACAATAATTATACTTACGTCTTTGTGGTCTTTGTGGTGCCTATTACGTGATTCACGGAGTTTCCTCTCCAAATTTTCGAGTATAGTTTGATAATATTTTCTTCTCTCATGACTAAGTAGGTCATCGTGGTCATTATGATTTAATGCTCCCTTTTCTACCATATCCTGTCGCCTTTTTATGTCGACATTTGAATATATATCTCGTAGCTTATTTATATTACTATTATATGTTTTTCTTTGCTTTAAAATATCATTTTCTCTAAACATGTTTTTGGGTAGATTTTTCTTTGCAACAATTTCATATTCTTGTCCTGGATCTGATCTTCTTAAGCCAAATATGTTTCCTTTATTGTTCTCGTTATTGTGCAATAGCGCATTTTTATTTTTCATCAATGGTCTATTTTCCCGAGTGATATCAAAATTCGAATTTTCATAATTTGTGGCAAAATTATCTTGTTTGTGTGAAAATTCGTCAATTTTATGGTGTAATTTTTTTGCCTTGTGATTATTGTTTTCGTATTCAGAATATAAATTTTGGTTTGTATTTAAATTTTCATTCATTTCTAGGCCAACAATATCTGTTTCAAATGGATCTGTGATTCGACGATTAAGAAAATCTTTAGGGCCAACAACCGAGTCATAGATTTTTCTAATTTTTGCATCAAAAATTTCTTTTTTAACTTCGTCGAGTTCAATATGTTTCACTTCTTGTTCCAATTTATTTAGTAAATGCATTAATTTGATATCTGATTTCTCATATTCTAAACCACTTAAACTATCAGGCATTAGTATTGGTTCAGATACAGTAGAATTTATTTTATTGCTTAAATAATAATTAGTCTTCATAACTTTTTCTTCAGCTGAATTCAAAATTCGTTCGGATTTTATATTGGGTTGATTCGTTGGATAATTAGGTGTAGAAAAAAATCCTCCTTGACTTTTGAATCGGTTTCTTCTGATATTAATGTAGTCATTAACAAGATTTTTTACACTTGAGAAGTCTTTTCTTGGTAGAACGCTCCGCTTATAGGTATTATCTCCTCTTTTACTTAGATCAAATATTGGTACCTTTGAAAATAAACTTGTTTTCTGCAATTTAAATGTATAAATATTAATCAATTATCAATAAGTGAAGATATTATGATGTCTACAGTCTTTTTCTATTTAACGAATCTTAAAAGGCTTTCAGTAATTTTTAATAGACTTCAAACAAGGAAGGAAGTTCTCAATTCGTCGAAATCTTTTTTTATGTATATTACTCGAAGAGCTTTGGATCAATTCGGTAATTGCAAAGCATGTACTACCCAGGCGTTCCATTTAGAATTTGGTGATGGAATCCCAAAAAATTGAGGTTAGATTTAAAGATATTTTCAACTTATCGTCGTATGTTTTCTCTTTATCAACATATTTTTACTACATAAAGTTTCATAAATATATAAACTGCCGTAACATAACATATTTTTCATGTTTTCTAGCATATTTGAAGTCTGTTTTACTTCTTAAAAAAAAGTTTGTGGTAAACACATATATGTTTTCTGAGAAAAAGGTTACCTTAGGCGAGTTGTACTGCAAAAGATGATTAGTAATGCTTAGACGCTTTGAAACATTTGGGAAGATCGGTTTTCTATCAAATCTTCGCTCTTCTACATCCCGAAATACCTTAACTCTGAAAAGAATATTATTTATTATATACTAAATTATCATATTAATACATATATATTTAAGGATCTGTAATATACTGGATGATTTTTTTAGAAAACATATCTATGGAATTAGAAAGATAAAATGCTACTCACGGCTTGGATATTCTTTGCTGACTATTTTTAATATTGCCAATTAGACTATGAAGATTTGTCTGCAAAAAAAAATACCGAAGAATCAGTGTTATATTTTCTAAATATAAAGCTTTAATTAAGCGACTTAGTCTTATTCATGTTTTTGTCAAAATCCTTGATCCCAATTTAGATCAAGGATATCGTGCAAACAAGATTTAAATTAATTATTTCTTTTTGTCAAATAAATAAGGATGATGACAGGGTAACAAATAGAAATTCTATTTAGCCCGTCAGTCAGATTTTACATATATACTTGATTAATATTTTTAAATAAGGATATACAAAAATATTTAGTCGTCATTCCTATTATGTTTTACTTGGTTTTGTGGATACTTTTTATAAGTAACTGTTTTTCTATGACTCTAAATGCTAACAAAATAGAACACCAGATTAGAATGAGCAATGCACTACAATGATAACTTACTGCTTCACGGAGATAAGATGAATGACCAACCAGCGAATTGTTACCAAATGGACTATCTAATTCAAATATGTCCGAATCAGGCTGCCTTTGAAATCTGAAAACATTTATTTTTTCAATATGGCGCATCGCTGTGACGCTTTATAGAACTATACGACGATTCACCTTTAGAAAATATATCATTGATTTTAGTGAAAAGAAAAACTGAATACATACATTAAAAAGACTAGTTCCCCGTTCGAGAATCGATCGTTTTAAATCATAAAAATAACATTTCTTCTACTTACCGATTGTAAGTAGATCTTAAGCAGTTAATGTTTCTCATTCGTTTTCTTAACGTCCGGGTTCGATTTCCGTCTGTTAATGGTCAATAGTGATTCAACTACTTATAACTAATAGTAACAGTTCTAATTAAGGATAACAGTTCTTATTACTAGAGTATATAAATATCGATACCTGTCACCAGTCACCATTGATTTGCGAAGAAGACATTGCACTTCTAATATCAAGTTGATATTCGTACTATAATCTCAAAATGTAAGTAGTTGAGCCACCATTGAGATACCAATATTACGTAAACATTTACAGAATTAAGGCTCTGAACTGAGAGCTAGTTTTTTTTAATTATTTCTACTTTAGATATGGATTTTACTAACGTGCTGGGTGGTACCAGTTTTTCTGGTGGAGCATCTTGAACACTGAATATTGGTAACACAACCATTGCCGGCTTACATCTATAATATATAAAAAAAATATTATTTTGGTGTCTAAACACTATTTTGTTCAATGACATATTTTTCTATTTTAAAGTCTCTTTGTGGTGGCCAGTTCGACATTTAAAACAAGTTAAAAAACCGTCCAAGTGCGAGTCGTATTAGCACACGAAGGGTTCCATAACCATTATTCATTAAAAAAAAACACAAAATACAATCACGTTTGTCACAAAATACAATTCTATGGAGTTGTTCGAAATTTTCAAGGTTATAATACATTTAGTCAACTATTACTCGTAAACTTGTAAAGCTAACTTAAGTGTGATAGTTTTCCTTTCAAATTCGTTATATATAGGTATAGGTACTACTGTCGTAACGTTTGAATGTTTACCAAAGACGTTTTTTAGTTGGACACACTTGACTCTAAAGAAAATTAGTTCTTTAAAGCTTAATACGTCACAAATGATTTTCCCACATCCCCAGTGTTTTTGAAAAACCTATCCAATGAAGCGCCATACTATGGAGAAGACGAAAAATATTATCATTGCATTACATGTAGGGGAGGTAACCTATTCGTTTTTTTTAAATTTTATTTTACCACTTTGTCGGTGTTATTAACTTGTGTACTTATGCCAAATTAGAACGTTCTAGTACCTACACAAAGATTTTTTAGGTAAGCCGCGGAAGGACGGACAGACGGACAGATATTGAAACTATCTATATAAAGGTTACTAGATTAATACTCATGTTTTAAAAGTTTTAGTACGGAATTTATTTTATGGGTTTAAATCACTTTAATCCTTTAAAAGCTTTCATACAATATATTATATAATACTAGCTGACCCGGCAAACGTTGTTTTGCCATATAAATTATTTGTATGTAATTTCTAGTGTAGACAAAAAAAAAAATAAGGGTGGACAACCCTTATCACTAAGGGGTATGAAAAATAGATGTTGGCCGATTCTCAGACCTACTCAATATGCTCACAAAATTTCATGAGAGTCGGTCAAGCCGTTTCGGAGGAGTACGGGAACGAATATTGTGACACGACAATTTTATATATATAGAGATATCTTCCTTTGCATCTGCTAGGGGTAAAAGACTTGTTTTACTTTGACTTAATCGTAAAGGTGGTGTAAGAACACATGTCAAAATTAACAATATATTAATAAAAATCTCAATAATATAGCATTAAGTGGGTTTTGGAATATTTTTATAATTATTTTGTTTATTCAACTACCTTTTCTGGTTGCAGGTGGTATATTTTGCTAGTGTTGTTGCAGATGTTGATGTTGGTGGTGATCGATCAACTAGAAACATATAGTGTATTGATGAATCGTTATTAAAACAGCATTGGATTTATTTTTTTCGAATGATCCAGCAGTTGTCTCTCATATAGGAGTAGGTAGATCGAATTAGGCTAATTGATCTGAATGTCTATATAAATGTGAATTTTTGTTCAGGATTTATTGATTTTTTTTTTGTGTCTTAAATAGTAAATGTATAAAAATTTAAGTAAAAGTTTCTAAAACTGTTATAAATTCAAAGAATGAATTATGGGATAAATAGTGTTATAAATAAATTTGAATGCTTTTGTAATGCGTTCAACTTTAATAAAAGCAATAAATTGGTTATTGGTTATGGTGTTACCATAACCAATTTTCAGTTGAGACTTGAAGTACTTTCTAGAAAATCATCCTACCTACTCCGATCACCGATAATAAACTGAACTGTATTATATTTTTTGATTACATACTTTCGTTATTTTCATAGCAGAGACAGTTCTCATCTTCATCGTAGCCTGGAGGGCAGCCACATTGAGTAGTGTAACCAACTTCAGTGGGTGGGTTCGTGTTGTATACGGGCTCACCATGTTTGGGACGAGACGATAAGTTGCAGACCACTATTACAATCTAGGGAAGCAAATACATTAGCAACATATAATAGATTTGTCATTCTCAAGTTGCATGCAAAAATATACAGGGTTACTTGTAAAATGCCAGTCACCTTGCAGAACTGGATAGCTAATATTAAAATACATTGAACATATAATAGATCTGTCATTCTCAAGTTGCATGCAAAAATATACAGGGTTACTTGTAAAATGCCAGTAACCTTGCAGAACTGGATAGCTAATATTAAAATACATTAAACATATAATAGATCTGTCATTCTTAAGTTACATGCAAAAATATACAGGGTCACTTGTAAAACACCAGTAACCTTGCGGAACTAGATATCTAAATGGTCTATGTAATGGTACTAAAAGATTGTATCTCTTAATGGGAATATCGACGTAATTCACTTCTATTTTGATCGTTCCCGGAACTATGCAAAGTAATTGTTAAATAATGAATGTTTATTAAAAAACATAGTTTTTAAATTGGTAAATATATGCATATTTCGTTCTACTCTATTTTTATAGATAGTGAAAACAAAATCACTATCCGCTGTCCGTATGCTGAGATATTTATGAAAAAATATAATCAATTATAACATCGTCTACTGCTATTTGTAAACGATGTTCTAATTGAATTATTTACTCACATTTAAAATTACGTAGGCTTTCTTACTATAACTGTATGTAGTAGAAGCTGAAATACCACAGCCAACATGGGTGCTTTTGGCGTATATCATTTCCAAATATATTTTTGGTAAAGCAGATGCTCTGTTGGAGATAATAAAAATACGATTAACAAGTGCAAACATAGTAAAAAAAAAACAAGAGTATATAGGTGATGAAAATTATAAAATAAGTTGTTGTTGTACAAAATGATGTGATATGATGTGTAAGTGCAATATGGAGTTGAAGTATATTGTGAAGGTATTATATTTCTGCTGTCTCATGTGCATGTACTGCTTGAAAGTTTGTGCGGTATTAAATGAGTAGTGTAATGTTCTAGTATAGTGCGAATACAATTAAAGTATTGGTTATAAGAAATATTAAGGGATTGGTTTATTTTACTCACATAAAAAAGTAAGTAAGTAAGGTAGAAAAAGAAGTCAAATTTTTACAACATTTTTAATAAATAGAAATCAGCTTGTCTTAGTGCCATCACAGCACTCAGAAAGTCATTTGTGATGCTTAAAAGAACTGCAGGTACTCTTTAATAATAATATAAACTGGAAGAAGCAACCACACGCTCAGAGTGAAAAAACACGGAAGGCATCGTACTCAATATTGGGTAACTTGTGGGTTGAAGAAGCAGAAGCATGTATTAGTTATGATTAAATAATTAGAAATAGTAATTGCCTGTTCTTTAGATTAATTTCTCTACAAATAGCTACAAACTATATTTTACAATATACGCACTGTAACTGACACGAAGTTACAATGCATATATACCTATGGTACGAATCCCGGAGTAATAGAGTTTCGGCCCTCCAGAAATAAATATTTATATATTTTTTCTGTGGTCTTATTTTATCAGGGATTTTTATTTAGTGTTAGTTGCTGATTTAGTATTAGTGTCTAGACGTATATTGAGCTATATACTAAAAAAGATACTAACGTTGACCAATCAGGATACTGTAGAATAGTTTCTGCAGTCACATAATCCTTTCTGCTATACCAAGATTTAACAACAGCAGTCATAGCATGTAAAAGTTTTGATTGCATTGCGTTTGATGAATTATATTCTGTTTTAGAGAGTGGCTCCCATGAAGGATACCGGAAGTTACAGGATCCTATTATTTGTCCAGGGTCCCGGAATTTGGCTGAAAGATAAAGCTTTTGTAATAATTATTCTTAAGCAAACTTATATCAAATTAGCTAGGTATCATAATGTGATTCTAATCGCAAGCTCCTCGATACCCCAGATACTCAAATAGTTATTTAATGACAAATAGTTATACGCATAGGTATTTACACTTCGTTCATACGAAAATGAATTGTAAGAACACTTCACTTTGTTCACTCTGTATTTCTGCAATGCATGTGATCGAGAATTGCCCCGACCACAGATAGACATAAACTGCCCAGACAAAGAAAAATCTCGGAAGTGTTTTGGACACCGCACACGACGGGATTACTAATACTTGCCACCGCGTCCATTCTACAGAGTGGACTATGGCTGCTAAACTCTTTAATAGAGCAATAAAATTTATTCAGTGTAACAACGATCGCAACTCAGCTAACATGAATTTATCTCCTTTATAAACGGACTTTCCACCGTTGGGCTCACACAGGAGCCCTATGTGGGAGATGGATTGGTAATGTAATCAGTACCAGGACTCAATATCCACCAAATTAGGCGGTCCACCGGAAACTGGTCCAGTACCAGGTGATTCAAAATTTTCTTCGGCTAACCTCTGTGTTATAAAAATTGACACATTTCACCCGTTCAATCACCTTTGCTTCAGTTTACGTTGAGTTACGAGACATACAATTGCCCGAATTGATCATCTGGTACAATCCATCCAGAATCACAGTTTTGTTTTCGGCGAAGACCTGAACGGATAGAGTCCGCTTTAGGGTAGCACAAGATCTAACCTTAGAGGTGACGAGGTAGTGGATTTCATCGTAACTAATGACCTCAACGTATGTAGCACTGGCACAACTCCCACATTTCAGACTACATCACATAACGGTCAACAAATAAAGTCTATAATTGATATCACATTGGCATCTAACCAGATATTCAATGACATTTACAGCTGGCAAGTAAATTTGAGCATCTACCCTTCCTCTCAACACAACGCCATTGACTTTGTGATAAAAACTGATCACGGATTAGATTCTTCGTCCCAACTGACGTTTACTTATGAATATAAATAAGACAAAGCCCATTGGATTGCCTTTGAAAGAAAATTTCGACTCTATTTTGGCGGAAGTAAACTAATCCCGGCGCGAACTACCTCTCAACAATATGCAAACACGATCGAAACTTTTGGCCATATTACGTGCATGCAAATGAGCCGAACAAGAGAAGCACAATAGCACAGTAATATACTCGGACTCAAGGTCATCTCTCGAGGCAATTCCGAACTGCACTAACACCCACCGGTTGGTAGCAGAAATATGTACATGCCACAATACTGTGGCATTCTGCTCGCCTAAGATACGCATGGGTCCGAAGCCACATTGGTATTACTGGCAATGAAGAGGCTGATGGTGCAGCAGGTCAGATTGCCATCCATCCAGTGTAGCCCGGATTATAATCAAGTCGTATAATACGTTTACTACATAGAAATACCACAGAGATAGCCTAAATGAGTGGAATTAGCGATACGTAGCAGCAACACAAGGAGCTGTAACAAGAATAAAGCTAGCTCTCCACTATTGACGATTGTAAAACATTGATAGTTAAAACTGTGATCTCTTAGAGTTAGTTCAATTACGGATAAAAAATTACTACCGATGAACTGTGCTCTTGCGATAATTTGGCTACTTAGAGCCTTAAACACTTGCTTGAGGATTTTCCTAAATACTCCTGGTTACGATTTATATAAACCAACAAAACTATAATCAGACCATTTACGCATACTCTGATAGTCAAGCTGCACTCAAAGCCATACATTCGAGCGTGATAAGTTCGCAACTGGTTAAGAACTGTATAGACAGATTGAATGAACTGGGGCAAAATAATAAAATTATTCTTAAATGGGTACCAGGACGTTCGGGCAAGCGATGACTAGCAAGGGCTGGAGCGCAGAAACTACAAATAGGACCAGCGCCCTTTTATGGTATCCCAAAAAAACATGTGATGCAAATTCTAAAAAATGACATGCAAAAGGATTTAAAAAAATACTGGCAAAAACAGCCGGGATTAAAACACGCTAAATCCCTAATTGAAGGTCATTCACAATATTAGCTGAAGAGCTCTTGAAGCTAAACAAAGCTTAAATACGAACCTTATCTGCACATTGCAAAATGAAACAGACACCTATTTAACATGAAACTTAGTGACATTGCAAATATTGCAAACAGGAATCTCCTGTGTGAATGTGGAGCACTGATCCACAAACGAAACTTACATCTGGGACGACATATAATCTGCCCAGAAGATATAAAATTTCTAAAAGCCAGAAATATTCTAGACTTTTTGAAGTCTGCCGGGCAAAATGAGTTCCTATAGCTCTGGCGGCGAGTCACAATAGATCTTCAAGGTCACAGTGACTACAGTTCTTCAGGGAATTGCATAGCTCCTTATAATAACAAATAATACGATTTATACACCAACAAATATGTCACATCGCCAGAATGGACATATTTAACATTCTTGAACTTATGACCAGTTTTAGAACCGTTCCTGGATTTAACGAAAAATAATGAAAAGTTTTAATAACATAGTGGAATATTTGTGTTGCTATCAGTTCAGAATGGACAAAAGTATACAATAGCTTCTGTCATAGTACAAACAGCGTCTCACACCAAATCTGAGAAAAGATAATAAAAATAAACACTCTAAGTACCAAATAAGACAGAAAAATAGTTATTTAATAATTATTATTTTTTCGCATGAGTAAACAATAGGTAGTGCTATAATGAATAATCCTTACATAAGAAGTATCATGTATAACTAACTTGTAGCTCTGCATAGGTCGTGCATTAGAACGCATTGGTTGGCTAACACCTGAGCGAATGTGGCGAGTTCACTATCCCATTCCTGCAAGTCCAATAAACATGATATACTTATATGTCATGGATAAAGTGTTTAATCGGGCATTTTGTATAATGCCTAATAGGAAAGAGAAATATGATAAAAACTATAGTGTTTACCAAATTTCCCGGGCATTATTTATAATGCACGTGGTCTATTGGACAGAACAATCAAAACGAGGTTTTGCACTATATTTATTTTACCAGTATAATCAGCTTAGCATTAGAATAAACAACATTACAATTATTTTGTAGACATGAAGGAGATATCATACTTAGTTGTAAACTATTATTATTCGAACAGTAATCCACCCTAGGCGTCAGCTGAAAAGCCAAGCTTCAGTCATCTGTGGCTTATTCAAATAATTCCCCAGATGCAAAACCGCTGAATAAATCAGGTATTTACTATTTTAATTATGTTTTCCGAGTAAATATTTTATTTTTAAGTTCAACTTTAATTGATGGGTATTTAAACTTACTAGCTTATTCATCCCATAGGCTTTAGGTAGAGGTTGTTCATTTTGACCCTTTTCTTTTCCAAGAGCCAGTCTTCCTCTGGCACTAGTAAAATAAAAAAATATAATTCTTGAGTCTTGGAAATATAAATAAAACACTGATTATATATATTTAATGTGTTTTTTCCACATAATTCCAATTATTGTGTGAATTTAGGAAAAATAAATCATTAATTGGTCGAATAACATGCGTTAGTTATTTTACGTGCGATATGTTAGAGATGCTATGTATCAATGAAGTGCTTGGTACTAATTGGTCTATTTGCTTTGATCATTAACGCAATCGAAAAGTTCTTTAAAAATTATAATAATTTGATAAGATGTTGTATAAGATAAAGTTGCATTTATAGTACTCACGCGTTTAATAGGCTCATTATTTTATTTGCCAAAATGGTATCCATTGTGACGTTTTGAGGCTCAAAACAATGAGGACCCATTATCCTATCCTGAAAAAATAAATTAGTTTTGGGTTAATTCGAGTTGCTGTATTTTTCAATTCCAAATTTTTACTTTCTGTTATGAGCTTTTTCTAGCGTTTTGTGTCTTATTTTCAAGAGTATACTGACTAATAATGAAATTATATTATATAAAAAATTATATAGTAGATATGACATTTATTTTTTATTTTTAATGAAAAATGCTTTAAAAATCCCCTTTGTTCCTGGCATCCTGAGATGGGACCCGAACCCATGACTTTTCGCAATCCGGGTGACTGCTGGAACAGATCATGGGGACAGGATCAGTCCTGTTCGATTTTTTCAAGCACTTATTACTTTTTCGCTACTTCAGAGCGTATTTTCGTCAATGTTCAAGCAATCTACCCAAACAGCCTAAAGAAATATTTTAACTTTCGATAAAGATGAAAATTTGTTCTAATCATTATATTTCTTTAATTTTGCATTTACCATGCTATATTGAAAAATATTCTTAATGAAAAATGTTTAAAAAATCTACTTTGTCTACGGCACTTGAGATGGGACTCGAATCTACGACCTTTGACGACGCAATCCAGGCAACTGCTCTAACCACTGAGCTACCCAGGACCTAACAGGACTGACTAGTTTTTCAAGTACTTGTTTCATTTTCGCTACATCAGAGCGTATTTTCATATAAGGTAAAACAATATTTTTTTCGTCCTCCGGTCTTCATCCGACTTTGATGACATATACTACACGAAAAACTTTTTTATGATATGATAGTATCATCGAATTTGGATAATATTAGAGATTTTTTCGGAATTTTGTTTTATGTCTCATATTAGATATTGTTAATATTTATGAATACGATATCTTAATAATTTGTTTACTTACAGGATCGTAGTACATACACATAACATGTGAGCCCGGTATACAAGGCGGGTTGTTTACACAATAGTCCGCAATATGGCTTCCAGTCTGACTGACCCTATCGATAACACGTGGGCAATAACAGCTGTGTAGAAACAACGCTACTAGCGACAATAACTGGAAACAATTATTTTTAGATTATAAATAAATAGTATCA